ATATCATAAATTAAGGTTTTGCATAGTAGGAAGATTGTTATTAATAATTTTAAGACGAAATGTATAGAATTTTTGATTATTATTTAAAGAGTTGATAATGTCAATATTTGTTGACCATTTAATAGAGAATGGGTTTTGAAAACATATGCGCGGATTTATGAAATTGGACCTTTTTTTAGAACTCCTAATTTTAAAAAATCAATAGTAATCAGCTGATTTTTTTTTTTGAACCCCAAAAATTTCAAATAAGTAAAATTCTCAAAAACAAAAATTTATATATACAAGCACGTCAAACCAATCGTCCGTCCTTAAAACCAATCCTTCTTTTTTAGAATTTACTTGAGTAAGAATTGACTATTATAATTTTTTAAATATTATAAAGCTATTTATTAAATTTTTTTATTTCTAATTAATAGGTTGAATAAAATAATATAATGGCTATTAATGCGTGTCACTACTCTTATATTTCTTCTGAACCAATAGTTCTTATATCACATATTACTTTACAACAAGGTTTTAAGTGTGAAATCTGTGAAACGATTTATAAAACAAAAAGAGGTCTTATGTGTCACCAAAGAATTGTTCAAAAGTATAATATTCGTCGTAAGGGGTTATATACATTACCTTCACAAGCAATCAATCAATTTAAAACAGATCTCGTTCACATTATAGGAAACAAACTCAAAGAGCATTATAGATGGTCGGGCAAACAAACTATCACATTTTCATGTTTAGAAAGTTTATTTTTTGGGGTTTTTAAGGGTCACATACATTATTTTAATTGTAAAAATCGTAGCTATAAGTGTTTTTTTCATGGACCGGATGCATATTCACAGTTAGCTAGTTTATTTAACAATCAGAATTGGGGGTACAAATTTTTTAACAACGATCAATAGACGTTTATTTTGTTGTTCGACACACAACTTGAAAAAGCTAATTATAAAAAAAAAAAATCTGAATTACCAAGATTAGTAATCGAATAGAAAACAAAGAGCAAAAGAGATGCAAAAGGTAATCAGACTTCAGCAGATTATCTACATTTGAGTTTTTATACTCAACAAATTTAGGGTTGCAGGATTTAGGTATTTTTTTTTTATTTTTTTTTTTATTTTGATGTATGAATTTATTACTAACGAAACTTTAATATCTTACGCCTATTATTAACATTGTTATAAGTTTGGATCCTTGTTTACATATAAAAAGAATGTATAATGTACAAAGATTCAAATAAAGTAATAGATATATGTTCAAATAGTTGATAATCAAAATTTCCAATTTATTTAAATCATTTCATCTGTATTTAATTTTAAGTGAGTCACTATCTTACAAGTTGAATTAAATACTTAATCTACCTTTATAATTTCATTTATTAAGTCTAATAGGTTCATTTTTCAAAAATCAAACCTTTATCAATTTATTTTACTTACAGTTAACTACTACCAAGACGTTTCACATTGTTATATGAACTAAGAATTTGGCCCTGTATTTTCTACACCCGAGGTTGGATAATGCACAAAAATTGATTATGATCACAGCAATTATATAATGGAATAGTTGGTTTATCTTGGCCATTTACTTCTCCTTCTCTAATCTTGCTACTTGGTCATTAAGGTTTTGAAATCATTGACTAACTTATTATATAAGTCTAATAAGTTAATAGCTTTGATATTACTTTAAAATATAGTATATTAATGAATAATTTAAATACCTATTTAGTGATTTGACCAGAGATGAGGCTTGCACCAAATAAAGTGAAAAGGTTTGATATTATTGCTTAGTTTTCTCTTTACACTATGTACAGCAGAAAAAATGAGCACGTCAGATCAGATAACAAAGAATTAACATATAAAGCATATATATTAAGATAGTGAGACTTCATATACTGATCAAGTTGATGAATAAAGCGAAGAGGCTTGAGTCTGCTGGTGCGCAGCTTATTACAGGTTATAATGCGATTACCAAGTTAGTTATAGAGGCTGAATTATTATTGATTCCACTATTAGTAATTATAGCTAATAATAATTTTGTTTATTTTTTATAATATAGATTCATCATTTAGAATATAGCTTGAATGGTGATCATACAAGCTAAGCTTTATTTTATGATCGAGATGGATTCTAACATAGGAAATATGTAAATATTATTATTGTATAATAAGTTCTGTCTATTAAAGTATTTTATAAAATTTCAATTTTGGTGAAGAATAAAGAATGAAATTTATTATATAATTTAAACCTTACATGCCAATGATAAAAAAGAAATTAAGGAAGTGAAGACCAGAGATGTAGTGGCTATTTGCTTGGAGTCTATTATCACGGGATATTTTTTTTATTTGAAATAAACAAAATATAATAAATATGTCTATAGTTAATTTTTAAGTACTATATATGGCCAATTCTTAATGTATTTTAAGAATATTCACTTTATAACTACATTCCATTATTTGTTAATCTTTTTATCTAAAGAATCAGTGTGAAAAACTATGCTTATCTAAATTCAATACTATATTCATGAGACATATTCTTGTGTTATCTCCGTCATATTCACGGATAACATTTTATATCTCGTATGTTCTAAAATTAATATAATGATGGTTAGACTTAGATGCGTAAAAATAGTAATACTATAGTAGACACGAGTGCTGCCAAGAAAAATGAGACTTCAGGTTTATCTACCGAATTTAACCCTACTGGTAACGTATATAATCTGTAAATAATAAATGATAAACTTGAAAGCCCGTGATTGTATTTTCCTTGGTAGCAGCTAGTGATGTGCTGCGTATAGTACAGTACGCAAATTTTTTTTTAGAATTTTGCATATAGATAGTTTACATATCACACGTGTACTATACATATTATGCTATACACACTATACGCACTATACGTACTGTACGTACTGTACACTAAAAAAATTTGTATATCATATAAATGGCACATCACTAGTAGCAGCACTCATATATGTATAGCAAAAACATAATAATGTACACTATTTCTTTACAAATAGTAAGAATATTTCACTTCGAAATTTTATTATAGCATTGTGTAAATGCCATAATAACTATACAATGCTAATGAAGTGCAGAATAATACTGCAAATGATGCTAAAATGCATTAAAACTTACTGCTTCCCTTAAATCAATAAGTAAAGAGATATTTGTAACATCAAAATGAAATTAAAATTCTACATTTTCCTTAATATAAAAATATTGAGGTTTATAGACTTGATTAGAATTTGATTTTTGGGCAAAGTGTAATAACCGATTTTCATAACTGAGAATTTCGAAAATTGCAGACTTTCTGTCCGTGCCTTTACCACTGTCCTTCATTGTTTTTCTGAAAAAGATGGATACTTGGTCATGGTTTTTTTTTCAACAGTGGTGCACGAAAATGCAGCCAAACCGAAGCAATGATGTAATTCAATGAATTCTGGTATATGATTAATCAGGACGTGTATGTATAGTGTAACATCTTTGGGGCGATAAAGCCCTTTTTTAAAAGATGTGGTATTCGGTTCACCTTGGTGGGGTGTAAGGAATAAGTTGAACCATTTTCTTGCCTAGGTGGCGAAAAAAGTTGAATCAGTTTTTCGATCGTTTATAAGTTTGTAAAGTGAATAAAACTCTCTTCACAAGCGATTAATTAACATAGCTCTTTCTTCACTAAAAATGACTTCAAAATTAAAATCGCGCAAAACCTTTTCTTTATCACCTTCTATAAGAGGTGTGTAAGACCAACTCTGCATACTATGATCTGGCCAAAATTGAAATCCGACAGAGATTCTTTTCATTTCTATGCTTATAATTGCTCTAGTATAAGTATTGTATCTATTTTCAGATTTTAATTCTTGGATCACTAACTCCCAAAGCCTATCCCAAATTCTTAACATTATGTGAAGTTCATCAGGCACATAATTATTTAATGATATCATAGGAAGAAGAGGAGGTTTAATATGTCCAGGTGGTGGTAAATTTAAAGTAGGAGTTGAATTATTAAAAAATTTTTCCTTAAGTTGATCCATGTCTTTTTCAATTCTATACACCTTGTCTTTATTGCCAATATCTTTCTTCATGCATAGGCACCAAGGACAAAAAAAGTTAGCATTAGGCACATTAAACTCTAATATAATAGTCATGAACTTTCAATCACTACTGAAGTATAATTGGACTTTCCATTTAATTCCACTAGAATCTTCTAGCCCATTAACCATTAAGCTATGCAGTTCACTAATTAGTGATTTCATTACTTGTTGCAACATCTCATAGTTTTCACCTCCCGGATACAGAATTACGGTATTGTGCGAGTCAGCCTTGTGAATATTTGAAATGTCATCTAAAATAGTACATGTCATCATTACGTGCTTTATTTTTTTACCTACGTTGCGGCCGTCTCCTAATATTTGGGATGGTAAAAAAAAACAACTTAAAGCATCTTTTCACTTATTTGAAACAGGTAATAATTAAAGTCTAAATGGTTAAAACTAGATTTAAATACATTACAGCACATTTATAAAATAACCAAAATTTGAAAAATTTGACTGTTAATATGTAAATAGTAATTTTGTTAAGATAGTAAATTTATATGTCTAATGGAATGTGAGAAAATGGATTAGGCGTATTGTTATTATAGATCGGGCGAGTGTGCCAATATTTAATATTAGAAAATCATTTTATTCCCAAAACTTAAATTTGGGCAAAAAATTAGTTAAATTTGACAAACGCGCAGTAATGACATTCAAATCATAATTATCACCCGTTTTTAAATACATAATAAAAAACATTTGTCATCCCACCTGATAAGCGAACATGAATTATTGAATTATTTATATTGAGAATATTTTGTTTAACAAGACTTGGAATTATGAAGAGCAAAATATCTGTAACTCGTCTGTATCCGGCTTTTCCAATGTATTTTAATATTTCCTTTTCGATTTCTTGGTCATTGATATGAGGTATTTCATTGGTTGTTATAAGAGATACATTCTTAGCACTTAAAATATTAATAGGAACTTTTTCATTCATTTCCTCATTTATTTTTTTTCTTGTGTCTGAAATGTTGTGATCTCATGGTAATTCTGGTTGGAGTGCGGCTAATTTTCGGTAGGTGTTCTGTGAAATCGGACCTTGGTCAATAACTTTTACAAATGCATCAAAAGAGCTGGTTTTTTCTTTATTATGATAATTGGCCAAGTAGTCCTTATCTTGAACATAGAATCGAATTTCTTGTAAAACTGGTCGATTGATAGAATTAAAAAAATTAGGAACTTCATTTTTAAAAGCTTCGCCTAATTGTATAGAGAATGCGCGAGAACGCTTCGTTTTCATGGATTCACTCAATGTATTAAATGGTTTAAAAGAAGTTCAATTTTTTCTTTCACGTTCTCTTTCTATATCCAGAATATTAAGGCCAAATACATGTACACCAGATATTCTTGCGCATGGATTATTTGGATTTTTTTTCTACATAGAAATAAAATAAATTAGATAGATATTTATAATAAACATTTTTTAAAAAATTAAACAGACCCATAAATAGTTATTAGCTGCGGCACTTGGAGATTCTTTAGATTCTATAATATTTTGTTGAGAGTCTTCTTGAAATCTAATTCTAAAAATAGGTCCATTTAACTCATACTTAATTTTACATTCTATTTTATGATTTGAGTTACATTTTCCCTAACTAGTTTGAACCAAATAGTTATCTGGAATTTTATATTTAATCCCATTGTGAGAACGCGTTGAAGTAAAACTTAGCTTATCCTTTGGTAGATAAATTCCTTCATTAATAATGTGATACTTGTAGATAGTATTATTTTGTTTAACTGAAAAAGGGTTATTCTCAGAATATTTATTTTGATTAAGAGACATCATGCTTGCATTAAAAAGAATTTTTTTTGCTAAAACACAGAAATGCAATATAATTTATAGATCCAGGTTCCAGGTAATACAAAAAAAGTTAAATTAGAATTAGGTTAAGGTTTAATGTTTGTGTGATTTAGTTTAAATTACAACTGGTTTGTTTAGCCAGTTGGGTTGGCACATCCAAAATATGTGACAGGTTAATTGACAAAAATTCTTTTTTATTTCAAAATTTAACCTATGAAACTGCTCTTCGTACTCTAAAGAAAAAAGTCCATATACATATAATTTTACAATATTTAGTATAAAATTAACCAAAACTTCTTTCAAACACTTCTTAAGCTAACTCTAAATTAATGTTAATATAAGCCGATGTTAATCAATTAGTCATATAAACCTGTTACAACATTACGTATAATCACATGCTTTTTTTTTTTAGTATTTATAGATAATCAACCAACGCAAATCTGTTTAATCATTTGTGAGGAGATTTTTATTCACTTTACAAGCTTATGAATAGTCGAAAAACCAATTTAGCTCCTTACTACCCAAACAAAAAAATAGCTCAACTTAATTAATTGATCAACCACTTTCACAAGAAGTTCAATTCCATGTTCAAGATAAAGATTACTTGGCCAATTATCATAATACAATTCTTTTTGATGCATTTGTAAAAGTTATTGACCAAGGTCCGATTTCATAGGATGTCTACCGAAAATTAGCTGCACTCCAACCAGAATTACCACGAGATCACAACATTTTAGACACAAGAAAAAAAATAAATGAGGAAATGAATGAAAAAGTTCCTATTAATATTTTAAGTGTTAAGAATGTATCTCTCATAAAAGTAAACTAAATGTATTATCCTTTAAAGTGTTATTATCACACAAAACTGTTAACTCAAATAATTAGCAACCATTTCTTTTAATAAAAAATTCTATATAAAGTTTATTGTATAAGGTCTAATCATTATAGGTAAGCCTCTTTCAAAATTTTAGATCACATTTTTCACATTCACTAATATGAGATATGGGTTTTTTATCTTAGTTTTTCATACATTTTAAATAGTCACATACTGCTTCCCGTGGCTGGACAATGCTACCAGTATATGTTAGAGTGCCATCGAGCTCACTATAATTTTATTTTATTTTTTTAGTTATTAATCTTTGATTCGTGCGACAAAATTCAAGACTCAGATCATATGATTTACTATCTGGAATTTCTTTTTTTTTTTTTTTAAGCGAATTCCACGCATCAAGTATTTCATTAATCTTGTATTTATTTACAATTTGATACAATGCATACTCATTTCTTTGAATTTAAGGGTGTTAACATAACCTATTATTTTACGGGAGTAAATTCAGAAAACTTACTGGTTCAGGTCTTTCTACATTTTAAATATGCTTTTAATTAATACACACAATTATTCGATTTACTTACGTGTTTACTTCAATAGTGAAAATGGAGAGAAGTCTGGATCATTAAATCTCTTTTGACTTAGAGCGGTAAAATTTGGAAAATCAGAAGAGTGGCAGAAGGTGCAATAATAGGGGGTTTCAAAGTTCAGAAGTTAAAATCAGAATGCTTATTTTATTTTTCCGATTTATAACTCAACATAGTAAAAATGTTATTGAAAAATCCTATTTATTTTACTTATTTGTTAACTTTAAAACCCCCAATATTATTAATTTAATGTTGTAATTTGAAATTAATTCATTAATTTACTCTATTTCATATAAAAGTTAGAAAGATCAGGCGCAAGCAATTTATTTATCAAAAGTGTGCAGATACAGGAGATCTTGATAGAACGTTTCAAGCTGGTGCTTACTACAGAGATAGATTTAGGGTTGAAAAGGATGAAAGTAAATCATTCATTTATTTTCAAATTTCTGTCGTGATGAGTTATGTTCTTATAGCGAATATGGCTGGATTCGAAACTAAGTATGATAAACGTAAGGCATTTATTTATTTTCAAAAATCCGCCGAGATAAAATTTGGTAAGGAACAATTGAAATTGGTTGTTACAAAAGTAAAAACAGAACTAAAAAAGTATATTTATTCGTGAGACATCTACAGGAAGTCGACAATTCCATTTATCTTGCCTCTTTTCAAGATGTAATATCGGAGGGTATTTGCGTTATCTTAGATCTAAATACTACCGTTTTGAATTAACTTATCGTCAAGCTGCCTCTGTATCATGAACATTACTTCTTATGACTGGTAGGACATCTGTTAATTTTTTTATCATAGAGTTGTTAGGATGTTTAGATCAATTACTAATAATACTGTAATATCTATGTTAGCTAGGTTAATTTTCACGTTTTACAAATAATACTTTATTATATATACGTGGCTTTTTATTCTTTAAAATAAAGCACATTTATATGATAAATAACATAAAGCTATAATACACTACATACATAATGTGAATGGGTATTTGATAAATAAAAATAAAGTAGCTTACACAAGATACCCAGATACTTTGCATTGCGTTTTAAAGTAGCACTTTCTAAAGATAACCGAGATCTCTAACTCTATCTATTAGTATTAAAAATGAATAAATTAAATGACTTAATTTGAACAAGAAATATACTCTATCGCTCTATAAAGTATAATGAGATATTATCGTTCATTAAGTTAAGTGTAGATCACAAGCGAATATAGTGAAACCTATTTTTTGCTTTAAAAAAAGATAACAGATAATCATTTAAGCTTTTTATTGTGTTCATAAAACAATATTACGTAAAAATCATATTTTGACTTATATTCACCTGAAACTACCTTTACCATTAAACCGTGTCGCTGAGCGAAATTCCCCTTTACCTTTTGAATCTTTTGAATATTGTTTACAAAAAGAATCGCACAATATTTATTTACGTGCCCATTCTTGTGTTGTTTCTGAGGGTCTTATATTCTACACAAAGCTGGAAACATGTTATAACAGCTACAATTTTTGTTAGTTAGTGATGTCTTATAAGGTTAAAGTCAATATTACAGAAGTATATGTGAGTGTCGTCAAAAGAAAACCCGACAATTTAAATATAGACTATATTTAAATTGTCAGGTTTTCTTTTGACGACACTCATATCTGATATAGTGATAGTAAATCTGCGCATATGATTGACATCAACTGGCTAACGCACTTTGCATATTTGTGTAACAAAATTTTGGGGTGCGACAGTGATCTACATTAATTCCACAAATCCGTGCATATGAGATTTAAGTTGTGACCATGAGAGGAGTAATTGTATAGTAATTGTGTTTTGTAAAAATAGTCGAGTTTTAGTAGGAATTGTGTAGTTATGTCATTTAAAGTAATCAGGAAGTAATGTTGTGAAGTTGGATATAATTAAGTGTTTTAAGGTGCCTTGTTTAGCTAGGAGATCAGCTTAATTGTGAAAAGAGTTGTTAGAATGTGATTTAACTTTGTGAAAAAAGAATTTAAGAGATTTTGTTCGAATAAGATATTGAATAATAAATAAAATATCCTAGTTTTTAATATGTGAAAATTTGCGTAAGGATGGGAATAATTAGATATTTTTTAGAGCTGATAAGTTGTCAAGATGT